TCTGGAAACATCCCTTTCTTTTAACTTTAAACATTAATAGTGCAGTTTTATAGTCAACCAGATCTCTAAATCTGAAAGCATGTGACTTTATAAATGATTTGTTGATCTAATTAAATGATGCTTCATATTTCAACATAACATTTTAGTATTTTACTAGTGTCTGAACTTTAAAGCTCCTCCTGTTTCACTGTGATGAAGTTCGATTTAAACCTTTTGTGCATCACAAACATCAGTCATTAAAACATCAGACAGAAACACTGAACTCCTGGAAACACTGTGAACACACGTTGTTACTGTTGTAGTGTCATGTGTGTCCAGCAGAGGTCAGTGTGACATCACTGACTGAACTCATGTTTCCTTCGCTCTGAGCAAACTGATTTCTTTTAAAAACAAAGAAATTAGTAAAGATAGAAAAAGCAAGAAAAATTTTTAAAAAATAAAATAAAATAAATAAAAATAAAGACACAAGTAAGTGACCTGGAAAGAGTCCTAAAAAATTATAACAATTCTCTGACATAAATTAAGATAATAATTATTATTACAAACGTAGTTTTCCCTTAAATTTTTATTTTTTCCCTATTTTATTTTTTTTTAAATAATTTTGTAAATCTCTTAAAAAAATTCATTTTGTGGGAAATTTCTTACCAAGTTGCTCCTTTTTTCCATGTTTCTGAAAGAAATTGCACCAGTTTTCTCCGGGTTCAAAAGTTTAAATATTTGTGAACAGCGTCTGGAAGCAGCACAAGAAAACTGATGTCGCTCCAGGTTTCAGAGGGTTAATTACATCACTTCCTCCTTCCTTGCCTCCTTGTTTCCTTCCCTCTCGGATTGTTTGAAGGTGAATCATGTTAACTGATTCTTCACACCAACATCTGCTCTGTGTGTGTGTTACAGAGTGTGTGTGTGTGTGTGTTGATGAAGTGTGAAATGCTCAGCAGCTAAATTGAATTAGACACACACACACACACACACACACACACACACACACGCACACACACGTGTTCGTCAGGCTCGTCATGATGTTTTGTGACAGATGTGAAACAGGTCGTGTGTGTAACGTCTCCTCTGCTCTGTGATTGGCTGTCGGCTGTCAGGCCCTGATGACACACGGCTGTACGACCTCACCAAACCTCCTTTAACTCAAATTCTTCATGTGTGAGCAGGTTTTATAAACACAGGAAAACCTGCTGGAAATAGGCCGTCGACTCTTTTCTCACTGCCACTAGATCAGAGCTGAGCGCACGAGCATGATGACTTCCTGTTTGTTCTTTCAGGGCGTGTCACGTTCAATGTCACGATCATGTCGATATCTCCGACTGATTCAGTCTTTAGACTTGGTGCAGACTGATTTGGGGTCAGTGTTTGAGCGCTGCTGGGTGGAGACGACCCTCCTCTCAGACAGGCTGATGGTAAACAGTGACGCGGGTCAAAGGTCAAACTGTGGCAGTCACTGAGGTTGATTTCATCATCCTTCTTCTTTGAGACTGAACTGTTGACCTGCTCAGTGTGTGTGTGTGTGTGTGTGTGTGTGTTGAAGGTAATTAATTGTCGTTATCTCTGTCAGTGTGACACTCAGAGGCTCAGCCCTGAGGAACAGCAACACACTGACCTGCTCAGCAGCTCTTTTTACACAGAGACGCCACCAAGTCCCGACTTTATACCGTCTGTAACGGCGGCGTCATGGTGTCCAGTGTGTGATTTCAGACAGCATGTCCACGTCGCAGAGGAGGCAAAAAATATGCCCTTACTATTTTCAATGTACAGCCCCAGAGCGGTGGCAGCTCGTTGCATGTTGGCGCTCCTGGATGCGCCACCCTGCAGCACTTCACACCGCTGTCCTAGGTCCACCCTCGCCGCCCCAGAACTAACTGCACTTTCCCACCTGTCGCTCTCTGATTGTACAGACCACCATGGATATATGAAGAGAACTCCCGAGCTAAATGACCCACAACCCGTCATCAAATAGACAACAGCCAAAAATATTTCTTGGCCAGTCACAGCTCTGGAGATCGGCTCTTCAGGTGAGAAATTAGTGGCTGTCCACACATGATTTAAGCTAACGCAGAGCAGATCTTTCAGTAAAAGTAGTAACAACTGCAGCGCGATGCGTCAGGTGTGTGCGAGGGGTGACACTTGACGCGCCACATGACGCACCGCCGGTGTGTTTTCAGCTTAACACAACAGCATCGCCCCCTAGCGTGACATATAACATACGTGTCACTGCTTTGTAAACAATAACAATGACATAACGTGTCACATAAATGTTTTACAGAAAAAAATGTAAAAAAAAAAAAAAAAAACGCAGAAATTTTTTATCTCTAATTTTTCTAACAATTTTAATTTCTTTTCAGAGAAAATGCCTTCCATAACTGCCTCGGGTTAGGAAGGCATGTTCTCATCAATTTTTTTTTTTTTTTTTTTCATTTTTTTTCTTTAGAAAATTTTTAGGTATTTTCTTCTCTTTTTTTACTTTTTTTTTATATAAACATTTTTAAAGATT